CAGAATCTCTTCAGCTGCAGTGATGCTGCAGTTCATTTCGCTCTGTGTCCTGCCTTGCTGTACCCTGTTAGTTGTCTGGGACACCCTATATGGGTGTCCACACTGATTACATGAACTGGAGTTCGGTGGGATGGGGTGACCCTGGATGATGTGACCATTGTAACGCTGTCATTTTGTGTTGACTCTTTGCTCTCTCGTTCTGTTCAGGGGCGTAATGGAGAAATCCTTCATGGAATACTACGACTTCTATGAAGGGGTGTGTAAAGAGAGACTTTATCTCCAAGGACAGACAATGCAGGTGGGTGGCAGACAATTTTCTTGTTGATAACACGCTGCCTTAGATAAGGGTTTGTGGTTAGTGACAAACAACAATGTGCAGCACCTAGAGGTACGTGGTGTGGATCTGGATCTTTTCTATTAAATGTGTATTCCAACTTTGAATCAACCATGAAACTGAGACCTGAGACGTTCCTGTGGATAAAACACTACCTTCCCCAAGTTCAGAGTATGCACACAGTGTTTTCAAGGCTGTTAGACTTCTCAGAGTGCTGGACCTGAGCCACTCTCCAGGCAAGTAGGTACTTCTTTCAGCAGTGGAACCGGTACAGTTTGCTTTCATGTGGATTTGGTGTTAAGCAGGGAGGGCACGCGCAGGTTATCCAATGCTGGTGGCGACTGAACTCCATTGCAGTATTTTCCTGTTGGGTCACTGGTAGAATTTCTCTTTTTCTGAGGTTCCTTTGCTCATACAGCAGGTAGGAACTTTTCTCTGACACTCCTTGTTCTGTCAGATGAGATTGAAAGTGGCTGACTGAGTCAAAAGTTACTGGAGGAGGAAGGGGTGGGGGAAGAGTGACAATACGGCAGACACATCTAGACGGGTTGAATACAGGAGCTTGTTTCTGTAGGAAAGTAGACTTTAAAGAATAGATTGCCAAGCTATTTGCATATGAACAGATGTGTCTTCCTCCCTCATCAGCCACCTCTTGTCTGACTCATTGAGAAATTCCACTGCTAAGAAAAGATGGAGGTGGCTGATTTAATGATCTTGTGTCTCTGAGCCCTTTTTTCCTGTCAGTGCCTTCACTGGCTGTGTAATTCATAAATTGAAAACACTCCCAGAGCAAGAGAGTTGATATTTGGAGTGAGAAAGTCCTGTAAGGAAGGTCTGTGTCTGCAGAGAGTACTGAACTGAAGGCTGTGTAGTGAAGTTTGGTGACATTAGAGGATTGTCAGGTGTGGCTGGCTCTTGTTTACTCTTCAGGGAGCCAGGGTTCAGTTGCTTTCTCCATGGGTTTAGGGACTGTGGCCTGGGACTGTGTTGTGTTCAGTTCCCAGAGGCAGTGACTGTTGTGGTCTGTTTTCTGCTCACTTGTAAATAGCAGTGCAGGAAGCATGAACACAACGTGCTGGAGAGATGGCATTGTTGTCTTCATTACCCTGTATTTAAAATTAAGTCACTCCAGGCTCAGTATCAGTTCAGTGCTTGCCAGATGTGCTGTCTTGTTAACTCTGGGGCCACATATTGGCTTGTACCAAAGATTCCCATCAGATGGGACAGCGTAAACTCCACCACCACCTTATATAGCCCTGGCAATGTGTCTTCGACCTGGGATGGGGATAAAAGCAGCAGATGTTAAATAATCTCCAAAGACTTTCTGCCTCTGACTTGGCTACATCTCAGCTGGGGGCCTTGATTTAAAATGAGAATAGTGATGCTTTCATTTGGAAAGGGTCTGTAGCACTAATATAAAGTGTGGTCAAGTCTTTGGCCTCTGGATTTTAGGGGTTTTCTTTTGTAGTGTTTTTCCTGCCTCTTTGGAGTAGGCCTGAGACCAAATCTTTGAAACAGTTTACTTCCTCAAAGCTGCTAGTAGAAATCCAACCCATGTCTGCCTGGCCTTTCATCTGTTTTTTGAAGTTTGCTTGGGTTTGTAAGGTTTCCCAAAAAGAGACTCCAATTATCTTCAGTCTTCATCCTCTGCCATGACAGTGGAAAGTTTAGGGGCCTCTCCGTCTAAGATGGGATTTAACCCTTAAGTCTTTGACCATTTGTAGCCCAATTACTACTCAGCTTTTTTCTTTCTGCCTCTTGCCAGAAGGATAACGGTCTAAATTAATAGGCTTATTTATGGTTTTCTTCCAGGATCCTTTTGGTGAGAAACGAGGCCACTTTGACTATCAGTCCCTATTAGTGCGTTTGCAAGGAATTCGGCAGAAGGTGCAAGAGAAACACCAGCAGGAGAATACAGAAATAGACTCTGAGAGCAGCTCCTCCGAGACAGAGACAGACACTCAAGGTTGCTCTAAAGCTTAGAGCTACGTTAACAGTGGAGAGGCCAAGCCGTGGGGATGTTCTGTTGTCACACCCTAGAGTACCCCTGACAGACTCGACAACCAAACCAATGCCAGAGCGGAGAAAACGGCAGGATATCTTCTGTCTCCTTTTACTGCTCTGGTGGATAACGCTGAACGAGAAGACTTCATGCTAGACAAAGCCAAGCTTGTGACAGGCTACTCTTAAAAGGTACTTACTATGCTAGAAAGCTGGAGCATGTGGCATCAGGTTATTTTTTGGAAACACCTACACTGGTTGTTTGGTTTTTTGTTTTTTTTTTTTCCTCCATTTGATTAAAGAATGAGATCTAGACTGCGAATCCTCTTTACAGCTTCTCTGTTCCTAGACAGTGAGCCCTTCCCCGGGGCCATGCTGAACATGGAGCTGTAGCTGTGGGAGCGCTTTGATGAGTCCAGGGTATGACAGGGCCCACGCACCGTGTGCCCAGGCGAAACCTTTTTGTGCGGGTTGGGAGAGACGGAGCCTCTCTGCTCTGTGGAGCCCATCTACCTGATGTCTTTCTTCTAGACACTGTTCTAGACAGACCAAAGATAAAGAGCAGTGGTGGAATCTGGGCTCCTTTCTGAAAGCTTTACTCAAGGCCTGGGTGACTTCGTCCACTGAGACTTCAGGCGCAAAGGGGCGGATGAAAAGTGGAAACTGCAAGAATCTATTAATCAAGTGCAGATGTGTTCATCCTGGTGTTTTGGGGAAGGGAGGGTGAGAAAATCATTGGTCGGAGATGGGGGGAGCACTTAAAAATAAGTCTAGTTTGTGTATTATTTTTTTAAGGTGTTGATTTGAATTTAGCATTCTAGAAATATTTTTTTCTGGCTGCTCTGAATGGAGCTGTTTTGTTTCCTTAACTGAAGTACTCTTTGCTTTCCACGTCTCTACTCAGTGTAATATTTTATTTTCCTCCCTTCTTCCTCCTGCCACCTCACTCCCCGCTGCCACCTTGATCCGTCAGATTGAAACGCTAGAATAAGGGGCAATTCTAGCTAAGGAAGCCACTGTTTCTGGGTGGAGTTCTTCAGAGGTGTACGCCTTGTTACTGACAAATTCCTTTGCCAAACTTGGCCGAGCGCAAGCTAGCCGAGTGTCGTAAAGTTTAACACTTCAGTGCTTTGAACGTTTTAAACAGCAGCTTTTCACTGTGAGCGACGGCCGGCCTCTTGGAGAGGTGTCTGCTGGCTGCGAGTGCCATTACATCAAAGATGTATTCAGTGTAAGTTGGGTGGAGGTGAAATACCCAGTTTCTCCAGGTAAATGAGCCTGGTGATGATTGACTGGAGCAGTATGTTTTGTTGATGAAGAGCTTAATCTACTTTTTTCTTTTTTTTTTTTTTTTTTTTTAAATTTTTATGGGAGCTTTGATAGAAAGCTAAGCACAAAGTTGCACATTGTCCTGGGCCTTCTCCCAGTTTGCTTAAACACCTTCCCACCAGCTCGGCCCCATTTCAGACTCCTGGTGGCGGTGGGTGAACTTCCAACGCAGTCATCTTTGTTCTAAAAAAAGCGCAGAATAGAGGGGCCAAAAGACCCCTGCCGTGCGCTGCACAGAAAGGCAATGCCCCATGCGTCACTGAATTATTTTCAGTCTCTGTGATTTATATCAACTCTTGCAGAATTCGGAAGCCTGCACACTGCTGCTTAAGCAGCTCTGAAAAGCTGAAAGGTGGAAACATTTCTGAATTGTTAAGGTGCCATTTAACAACTTGGGAACCTTTTTTCCCTTTAGCAAGCAAACTCCCCTGGGTCTGTCATTGGCTTGATTTAGACTTAAACCCTGTCTTCCCTCGAGGGAAAGCTGAACTTACATAGGACTCACTCAACACATACACCAGATGAGAGTAAATAAAGCGGTGTTCACCTTGAAATGAGGTCTCAGGGAGGCAGAGGGGTCTCCTGAGAAGTCATGAGCTGTGCGCTACTTTACCGCCTCTTTAATCCCATTGTAAATGTCACGTTGTTTTTCACCATTCAGTAGCATTGTGGGTAGAGCTGTGACTCTGCTGCCTTCCCAAGGCAGAGCTGGTTCTGAAATCTGTTTGTGATGCATGTGGCGTTACCATCCACCGATACAACGAAACAAGAAAATGCCTTATTGTGGACACTATTCACATAACTAGCATGTGGCTGTAAAAGAGAAGTATTAGTTTTATAGCTCTAATGTTGTCTGTCCTACCATTTCTGAATGTTTCCATTTCAAAGTGACAATCCTCAAATGACTGCTCTAGGCAGAGATGTTTTAGCAACAGATTTTTAGACCTAATTGAGTTGAAAATATATGCACAAGAGTCACTCTAAGATACCTTGTTTATATACTATTGTACATAAGATTTTTTTTTTGTGCAATAAAGTTTGTTTTGGCAGAATCTAGACTGTGGTACTCCTTAGTGGAACAACGACTCATTCACAGAGCAGAGAGGACTACAGTACAGTTTCTCGGTGTCACTGCTGGCTCCAAGATTCTTTAGCCAGAGTCACATTTGCGTCCTCCGAGACTGCAGTTGCAATAGCAGCTTAGATAATTTTCCTCTTGCTGTGACAAGGTAATTAGTTGTCTGTAATGGTAAGTGGCATTTCCACCCACAACAAAGGAGAAAATTCAGAGGTAAGCAAGTACGAGTTAGTCCTATTAAGCTTTTCAAGCTAGACACTTTTTACAAAACTTTTATTTCAAGTCCACTGTTCCTGTGTTTCAGGTGATATGCAAATAACCTCACAAGAAGAATTATATACAGGCACAGAACACGTAGCAGTCAAGGTATTGCCTCCTTGGCTTCCTCTGGAGTGATTTCCTGAGAGTACAGCTCTGTAAAGAGAGCAGGCAGCCAGTACTGAGGTTCTCCAGCTGCCTGCGTATCCAGCCAGGCCATTCCTTCCTTCAGCAAGTGTTCCTATACAAACAGAGCGGAAACTGTGAGTGAAACTTAACTAAATGGCTGAGAAGCCACTCACAATAGAGGCCTGACCCACACTTATTCTAGGGTAAGGGAGGATGTAGAACTTGGGCTACAATAATTTTTACTCAATTTAACCAGCACAAATATAGTTCAGACATCCAGCCATGCCCGCCATGCATGTTTATGTAGGACCTGAGCTAACAAGATTCAAGTTTTAATGGAGATTGGTGAAGCCACAGGAATATCTGCAGCTTCTGAGATTCTGCTTTCCTCAATCTATGTTTACGCAGCCTGTGCTCTGCCTTTGGTCCACCAGCTAGCTTAGGATCCCCCGTGCATGCTGTGATAACGCGTCCCCAGCAAAGCGTCTGCTGCAGGGCTGCGGCAGCAGTCACTCTACACTGAAGTCCACTATGCACAAGAGACCTTCATACATACCAGCACTTGCTTTGCACGTTCCGTCTCCCACTTCAGACTGGACCTGATCTCACTGACTGTTACATAGCCCTTTTTCTGAAATGAGAGGAAAAATACTGTGTGCTGACAGTCAAGACTTAAGTCCGCAGTTTAGAAGAGTGTGGACAGTTTTGCCTACAGGCCTGGTCTAATCACGGTTCCCTGTCATGGAAGTAATAAGGTTCTTTCAAGGTGGTTGTATTTTAAAATCTCCTGGCTCAATACCTCTGCCAGCTGCAAGACGACAGTGTGATCCATGTTCAGTTCAGCTGGTACAGACTGGATCAGATATGTTCCACCAACAGGGATAATCCCAAAGCCATTCCCCAAGACCTTCAGTTTCTTGATTGCACGAAGGAGATCATCCCTGAGAAGCAGAGGTCAATGCAAGGCTTTAAAGCAAGAGCTTCTCTCAAACTGCACACTATGTTCTGTACATGAGGAAGAGCTTGATCTGCAGAAGCTATAAGCAATAATAGCTCCTTGGAGCTTGCTGCAGTTTCAGGTAATCAACAGCTGAAAAAAATTTTATAAAGCAATTTAGAATTAGTTTGCATATCTGCATATCTTCAGAAGTGCAGACTTGCATTAGAGACACACTTGTAGCACCTGAGCTGCTAAACTTTCAGATTCAGCCCCAATTAGTGATCATGGCGAGTTGTATCCTAAAATCTGCTTCTGTAATGACATGTATCAGTCCCTTCCTTACAGCTCAGGAGACCACAGCAGCTTCAGCAGACTGTGGCAGTAAGAGAGCTGGATTTGCAGGGGACTATTGTGTCCAGCTCAAGGCAACAGTCCCTTATGCCTTAGGGCTCCCAGAGAAAGCACACTGCTGGTTTCTGAAATGCTTAAGTCATTAATTGTGGATCACGTGTAAGTGGCTCCATTGCTACAAGTCAAATTTGGAGTCCAATTAACAGCAGCACCTTCAAGTGCTGCTGAGATCAGTCACCCCCTTTTCTTCCCCGAATGCTACTTGATTCCCCTTTCCTGTCATACACAGACACTCACTGGCTGACATCCTGAGCAAACTTCCCCCTTCCCTTCAGCACTTGCTGATGAAGTTCTTCCAGTGTTATCAGACCTAGGAGTCAACAAAAGGAGACAGGAAAGCATTACTGCATAGCAACAAAATTATTCCAGCAAGAGCAGTCAAGGGTCCTTTGTGCGTTTGCCACTGGCTCACCCCTGCCTTCCATTTTACAAGCGGCTGTTCATTGTTCCCAATATCAAGCTTTGGGTGAGATAAGCATCGAGTCACTTCTGTTCCCAGAACTAACACGCAGCAGTCAGCTTTTGCCTTCTCCCACAAATGTATTGGACTGAAGTTTCAACTGGCTTCGCTGTAGCCCATTCCTGGTCTCAGATTGCCCTTCTGGAGTGAAGAACATCTACTATCTTTTCATTAGGCACTTATCACTGGTATTCCAACTCTTCTGGATATTGCTGTGACTCTTTACAGACCATCTTACTGCCAGGCACTAAGCAGTAACTTACCAGTTTCGTACTCCTTCAAGATTGTAATTGATCCCTGCTCCATCCCCTAGATAATGCAAGTTAGGTTTTGTTACCTAAACAGGGCAGAGTTGGTTGATTTCTGTAGAAATCAATAAAGCTGGGTGATTACCTGTGGGGAGTAGCTGTAACATGTTGTAGAAACAAAACAAGGCTTTTTGGGGGCAATGAAGACAAAACTGCCATCTCAGTATTTAGTGAAATCTACTAAAGGACATTACACTGAGCGACGTGACTCATTTTCCACAGGGAAAAGGTATCCTCCTGCTCACTGTGTCTCCTAGAAACCAGACACAGTGGGATCCTCACCTCCATTCCTGTGTTTCAGAGCCAGGCAAACTTCAATGATCTGCACACCCAGTTCATAGTAAAAGTCTCCAACTCCCAGCATCTCTGACCAGAATCCTTTACCGGCTGTGAAGTGAAAAAGGGGAAAGCGATTGGACCATTGGCAAAAATATCCTTCCTTAACTGTTACTGGTGCAAAGCAGGCTGCTCCCAAACCTTGCTGTGAGGACTCTCAGATCTCTCAACAAAGAGTCTCCATTTTGGTTACTGTTTTCCCGCCACCCTTTTAAGTAAATAACACCCAACGGTACATTACACCAATTCACAAACCCCAAGAATCAAAGCAGCATCAGCTCTCCTCAAGGAAACTTCAGCTTTACTGCGAGCTGTTTACAGTATGAGAACAGCGAGATGAATCCTTAGTCATTAACCCTGGTGCCTGTTCCTCACATGCCAAAGGATCCACTCCGATTGTTGCACACATATCTTGGAACTGGACACGGAACTCAGGGTTTTTACGGATCTCTTGCTTGTGTTTGCTGGCAAACTCTTCTAAGTTGGTCTTAAACATGTCCAGCTGCTTAGACATCTGAAAGAGAATTGCAGAGAAGCATTTTTGTCTTAACACTTATTTAATGCAGTTTTCCCGTAAACCCCCAACAAGCACTAAGTGAGCAGAGTCCTCACGAAACACCCAGGTCTCTGACGTGCTGCCTACCCAGTGCAGATGGCCCCAGTGGTCTTAAAGGAAGGAAACAAGATAAAAATTGCTTGATGGAATCAGAATTCTCCTCATGTACACTTTTAACACTGAATACAAACAAGTATCAGTGGAGATAAGACAAGGCAAAGGGCTGTTCTGAACCAAGAGAGAGGCTCTGAAGGGGGGCAGCAGTTATTCTGTGATGTACATGGGGCAGAAACAGTTCTACAGAAATGAGATCTTGCCGAGGTACTGGGAAGGGAGACAGAGCAAGATCTGTAGCAAACATCACAGCTCTTCGATGGAAACATGGCCTTAATGGGTGCTGTCATTATCCACGCTGCTCGTGGATAATGCTCTGGACACCGAAGCAGAGGAGGAAACGAAGCCCAGGTTTGCGGTTGGGCTCACAACCACGGTTATTCCCGCTGCCAGGGCAGGGGGGGGATCTCCCACCTGGGCCAGCTGGTCTTCGGCCAGGACCGTCCCTCGTTCCTTGTACTTCGCCTGCAGGAGGAAAATGGGATGATGGAGACAGTGCTGAAGGATACAGATGAACCAGAAACCGAAACTGGACGAGGGAAACGGAGGAGGAACCAGGAGGACACGCGGCCCGGTGCCCTAGGCAAGCAGGGAGGCTGCCAGGAAGCTCGGGGCTTGGAGCAGGGCTGGCGCCAGCCGGGATGGCC